TATATATATATATATATATATATATAAACTGAGATCATTTCAAAATTCATGCAAAGTACCATGTGTCTCTTTCTAGGAATATTGATGTTCTGAAAGCCACTGCAGAACAAATTTCTTCTCAAACTGGAAATAAGGTATACTAAAAAAAATCATTTAAGTTTAGGAATTTAGCATGTTTAAATAATTTACTCATATTTTTGGTTTAGGAAATCTGGAAAATGTAAGATTCCTTGTTCTCTTTGCTACTTTGCAGGTTCATGCAGTTCAGTGTGATGTGCGGGATCCTGGTATGGTTCAAAATGCCGTTTCAGAACTGATCAAAGTTGCAGGCCATCCTGATGTAAGTGTGACCGTGCTGAGGCCCAAGTGTGATCATACCCACCAGGATGCACTAAAAAAACAAACCAAACTCACTGCTGTTGAGTCACATCTGACTCATAGTGACCCCTCCTTGGGTTTCCGAGGCGGTATCACTATGGAAGTAGATTGCCCAATCTTCCTTCTGAGGAGTGCCTGGTGGGTTTGAACCACCAGCCTTCTGGTTAGCAGTGAAATGCCTCAAGCACTATGTAATGAGAGCTCCCACCAGGATGCACTAAAGAAATAAAACGTTGATGTGAGAAAGTGCTGTGTTGAGAAGCCCCTATTTTCTGTTGCTAAGAAATTGTACTTTCTGATGCCAACTCTGCTGAAAGCAGGATACAGATGAGGTAGACTGCTAGACCACTTCCTTTTAGCAGTACTTAAAAAATGCATTTGCAATCATATAGAATAAATTTAATAAGATTATGAAATAACAAGAGCAGTTACCCAGGGGCACAGTGTCTAGTTTAGATGATTCATACTCTTTGCTTTTCCAAATAACTTTTGATTATCTCAGTCATCGGAGGAGAATAAAACAAACAAGGAAACTCCATAATTTTTCCTTGTAAGAATGAGATGTGTGTGGCTCTTCTGCTGTTGTTTGGTTCACATATTAGAAAGACATTTCTTGTGATAGCCTCAAGGAGAGAGCACTTTTCTACGTTAAAGGTATTTTCAGACAGACCAGTAGTATGGAATCTACTATAGAACTAAGCAGGAGCTTTCCTGATAATGAAGATATAGATTACCTGCCAGCCAGTTTCATTGGGGCGTGTTAAACCACAATGACAAGCACTGAGTCAATTATGACTCCTAGTGACCTTGTGTGTGTCAGAGTAGAACTGTGCTCCATATGGTTTTCAGTGACTGACTTTTGAGGAGGGGCTGGTGGGTTTGAACCACCAGCCTTCTGGTAAGCAGATTGCCATCCCTTTCTTCTGAGGTTCATCTTAATGGATTTGAACCTCCAACCTTTCAGTTAGCAACTGGGCATGTTAACCATTTGCACTACACAGGAACTCCAAACCAAAATAATATCCATAACTGAAAGGTATTTTTTTTGAGATTCCTTCAAGTAAAGTGTAGTTACATGGTTGTTGCTGGTGTCAGTTGCCACTGAGTTGCTTCTGACTCAGGGTGACCCCTTGTGTGCAGAGTAGAACTGTGATCCATAGGGTTTTCAAGGCTGTGGCCTTTTAGAAGCAGTTCGCCAGGCCTGGCTTCCAAGGTACCTTTGAGTGGCTTCGAAGTATCAGCCATTTATGCCTCTAAGCAGGGACATCAGTCATATGGTAGACATCTTTAATCTGTACACTTATTTTCTTAATAATAGATTCTGCTCTAATTTCAGGATGGTGATTAAGAGTCTAAAATTTGGTAAATAACAAAGGTTTTCAGAGACTCAAAAATATAAAACTGAACCAAACCTTATGGTATTGTTTTGTAGTTAACTATGAGCTTCAGCTCTATTATATTATTTAGATTAACAAAGTTCAGAAGTACAAGCCCTTGAAAGACAACATTCTTCCTCATTTAATAGTTTCTGTAACTCAAACTATCCATTTGTTAGGTCGTGATAAACAATGCAGCCGGGAATTTTATCTCCCCCACTGAAAGGCTTTCTCCTAATGCTTGGAAGACCATAACTGACATTGTTCTAAACGGCACTGCCTATGTGACACTAGAAATTGGAAAGCAGCTAATTAAAGCACAGAAAGGTATGTTTATTTATCCATCACACATTTATTGGGCCCCTACTATGTATACCTCGTGCTAAGTCCTAGAATACCTACGTAGTCAATGAGATAGCATTTGTATGTGGACAACTCTCAATCTAATAGAGAAAAAAAGATACTTGAATAGTTGCTGTACATTGTGATTCAGCCTATATGGAATGTATGTCTCAAGTGCCATAGAAACCAGAGGACAGAAATGCCTAGCTTTGGTTTGGGTTGGTGAGCAGATTGAGGAACAAGATGCAATTTGAGTTGAATTTTCAAGGAGCTGCAGGTGGAGAAGGGAAAGGGGAAGGAAGGGGCTCGGTGGAAAAGAAAAGCAGAAGGGTTTAGGGAATGATGAGAAATTTGATATGACCAGAAGACTGGCGGTTTAAACCCACCAGCCACTCCACGGAAGGAAGATGGGGCAATCCTACTTCCGTAGTGATACTGCCTCGAAAATCCAAGGAGGGGTCGCTATGAGTCGGGGC